AGGCAAGTCAACGATACGAAACAGGCGACGCGGATTTCATGCATGCACGTAGGTAGGGTTGCTCGAGGATCGCCTCACGTGGGATCACATGACGCGGCAAGACTTTGCATAGCGGAAAAAGTAAATAAAAACTAGTAGACGCATACACACGCAGAGCCACAGACAGGTAGACCCCACTCCATCTTGCACTCTTCCTAATAAACTACTCCTTTGGTCTGAAAATACTTGTCGGAGAAATGGATATATCTAGATGTATTTTAGTTTTAGATACATCCATTTCTATCCATTTGTACGATAAATATTTTCGGATGGAGGGAGTAGTATTTTCTCGGTCCGAAAATACTTGTCATCGAAATGAATAAAATGATATGTATCTAGATGTATTTTAGTTCTAGATATACCCTTCTTATTCATTTTGATGACAAGTATTTTCAGACGGAGAAAATACTACGTAAAAATGTAAATAAATACTCCTTTTGTCATATACTATAAAATAAGAACGTTTTTGACATGATGAAATGCTCTTATATTATATTCCCTCCGTTCAAAATTATTTGTCGTGGATTTAGTTCAAAATTTGAACTAAAACCACGACAAATAATTTGGAACAAAAGGAGTAGGACAGAGGGAGTACTAAATAAACAAACACACGCACACTCTTGCATTCTTCGTAATGATCCGAGATTCTGCGATTACTTGCGTACTGGCGCCACCTCTCCGTCCATGGAAAGCCGCGTCTTCCTCCGCCCTGGCGCCGAGTATTCCTCTCCTCCTTTTGGCCTGACATGGAACGGAACCGGGTCCTCGCTAATCTGGCCGACAAACAGGGGATTAGCCCAAGCAACTAGCTAGACCACACCACATTACTGTATTGCCGCTCAGAAGAGGAGAACCGGAGGGAGAAGCAACCCAGCACGAGGACACGACGAGGAGAGGAGAGGAGCCCCCGGACCCTGCAGACCGCAGTGCAGTGCAGTGCACTCCTCCTTCCCATTATGCAAAGTGCACGCAAATACGGGGCTTAATTCATTCGGCTAAATGATGCTGTCTGGCTTGCCAAAGAATAATAAGATTATCGTACGTACAGATTAAAGAACCGTACGGCTCTCAGCGTTTCATCATCTCTTCAACCACGGAATATAAGTACACAAAACTTTGTTTCTTTCTTCTTTTTGATTGATTAGCGCTGCGCGCCGCATCCGTGGAGTTCAGGCCAACTTCATCGCGCAACTCCATCATGTCCATGCGTGCTCGTTTAAAGTAAAACGGACGAACTAGACGGCCCAACGCACATGTCCGCTTTCAACCCATCCCGGCCCAAGTTTGCATCATATTTGGGATGAAACGGACAACACGTGTAGACAGCCCGTTCCCTGGCTCGCTCGTCGATGGCACAGGGCACCTTTTTCTATCCGCCCCCATCCCTTCCTCTGGTCGCACGCCCTCCATTCTTCTCCATTCTTCCCCACTCTTTCCTCGCCGCCGCTGGCATTGTAGCTGTGCAGGTCGGACGCGCGCTCGCCCAGCCCCTTCCCCTCGGCGCACCCGAACTACCCAACCACAACCACCTGATTTGCGCACCCGCCGGCCGGATTTGGGGCGGATCCGGTCGGTCTTGAGCTCGCCCGGCTGTAGGAGGCCGCGCCGTGCCATGGACTGGCCGGGCACCAGGCCGGAAGGCCCTGGCAGGGCCGCAAGGCCACATGCAGGCAGTGGCTCCTCCTCGAGCCGCTCGGATCTACACTGTCGGTGGTCCCCGGTAGATACACGAATGGCGGTCGGCCGGTCTCGGTGCTAGCCCAAAAGCTTGTCGGCGCACCGTTCCCGCTCATTAAGTGGGACCACTGCCTAAAGAAGGTTGTGCGCCGCGTGTCTACAACGCCGGAACATCCCGGATGGGTATTCATCAAGTGCTTAAACGATGGTGTATGTGCTCTTTTTAGCTTTCGGTTTGTGCTCTAGATTTGACTAGTTGTGCTAACTTCAAATTTTCTTGTGTAGAATGGATGCAAGTTTTGGCATTAGGAAGAAGAGTACATCGATATATTGATAGAGCGTAATTTAGTAGATGTTCGTGCACTTTTAGCTAGCACTTGTTGCTAAATTCGAGGCTAGACACGAGACTAGATGCGAGGAAGCAACCTCTACTTCTTTAGACTCGAAGAAGAAAGAAACACGCAAGATGGAGGCGGCTCCTCCGCAGATCAACAATGAATGCATCGAGAAGACACTAATCCAACTTACATGAGCAGTTAGGGAAGTTGGATATCTTCTAAAATGTATTCTTGTGGTTCTTGTTTTTTTGTCTTATTTTTCTAGTCAAAATTTGATGATGTATTCCCATATACCAAGAATGAATGCATCAAAAACGATCCGGACTTGACCCTATTGTCCTATTCAAACGGATAGAATTCAGACAAAGCGGACATCCATTTAAGATCGCGTGGTGCAGTTTGGCCTTAGTGTAGTGTGGTGTCCTGGCTTGGGCCGGGGTGGAGCCGGTACCTGTGGCGGTTCAGGGTGCATGCCATTGGGACTGGCTCTGGCTGATCGACGGGACCGCGCAGCACGGCAACCTGGGCAAAAGCGACGTGTGCATGCACCCGCACCGTCGCACCGGTACCACGGGTACTGCGTACTGACAGCAGGAAAAAGGTCCGGTGCAGCGCAATGCACAACGGACGATCTACTCTGATCCGAGCTGATGCTGATCCGATACTCTGGCCTGAGTCTGACCGTCTGATCCCGTGCCAAGACAGGAGGTCAGGAGCGATCATCATGGCGGCATGGACCTTCGCAGCGGAATCTGCAAGGGAAGGGGCCCCGCCTGAGCTGTTGAGCACTTCTGGTTCAGGCATCTGCATGTTTGGCCTGTCAGAGAAATGGCGCGTGAAGTGAAGTGAAGTGAGCCTGGATGGGACACTGACCAATCGCTCGAGTTCACAGGTTTGGCACATGTTGTCAGCATCCATTTTTCTCTCTCTCGCCCGGATCTTCTTGATGTTCAGCTTACTTGGCCTGAGACTGAGATCTTGGTTGGAACACTTCTCCTGTCCGTTTGTGCGTGGACACAGGGCGTGCCACGCAAAACGCTCGAATGCGCACATGCTGTTCTCTGAACTTTCGTCGCTCTGAATCGATTGCAACGGCTGAAGGCTTCTCCGGCGGGAGCCCCCGACCGTCCAGGTTCAGTTCGGGGGCGCTACTTTTCCACTGATAGGAACCGCTTGAATGGTGCCTTGTTACACTCGGATGGGAACTGGAGTGCTGTCCTCTTTCGTCGGAAAGGTTATGCCGCTGCACGAATATTTGACGGATGTAGCAGCACGTTCAAAGTTCCCCCGGTGCGGTGTACAGAAGAAGATATAATGAACAGATTGACTACATGGGCGTATTGATGCAGTGGTGGCGTTCGAAATGCAGTATGATGGCCGCACCAACTTAAACATCATTGCCACGAGTTGGCTAACACGTAAACAAAATGTACAATCAGCGCAGGAGCACATCATTGCCATATGTTTCCTGAGTTTATTAAGAGCCTCGCTCCCAGTTTCATTCCATTAATTAATTAATGGAACTGATAAACATCGTTGATGTATCCATCCTTGGCTGTGTTATCCCAGTTTCACAAATTCACAATGATGCAGAGGCGTTATCCTTCTTTTCTCAGAAAAGTCATTGATGCATCTTCCCACTTACAAATGATGATCCTACCAAACCCGTTACTGAAAAGAGGCGTCGTCGGCAATGGCTCGCATGTGTCTTTACCCTGAATAAGTACATTGAAATATCAGGTCTCTGAAATCAGAATTTAGCTGGTGCAAATCAATCCATCTAGGCGAATGCAAGCCGCTGAATGCCTCCTGCATGACATGGTTCGCGGCTGCCAAAACATCTGACAATCGAACAGAA